GACTGGGGAGAGAAGTTATTGCCCTTAGTGCGGAGTTCTGGGCCCACCCCAAATATGCTGTGTCTCGGAAGAAACTCTGTCCAGGAATCTGCAGGTTGAACAAGTGTTTCTGCTAACTTCTACAGACTGAAAACAATAGACCGAGGGCTGGGGGTGGGGGAAAGGAGGGCAGGGAGAGGGGGATGTCAACAGGGGGTATGCAGTGATTGGTATTTCCAGGTACTGATTGCCAGGGCCCATAGCTATTTTCTCTCCTTTATTCTATTGCCCATATTTTGTTGGCTGTTGGTGACATCATCAGAAAAAGTAACTGGGATCTTAAAAGAAGGGGTAAAACATCTAATGGCTTATTTTTGCTCTGTATTAGCAAACACTTAGTAAGAAAAAAAATGGAAACTATAGGTTACATTTCTTCAATTTTCCATAAATTTAAATTATGCCTGCTCTACCTATCCCACAAATTATTGTCTAGACATCTTTTGTTAGTAGTAAGTGAAAAATGTTTCTGAAATGATTACTTAATATGTTGCTAAATCCAGGAGATAGCAACTGTCTGCCAGCAAGTGCCATATTGAAGTTTCCTAAACACTACAAAAAAAGGAAATTATTTACAGTTAGCATTCAACATTGGCAAACAAGTCATGCTATTAAAGATGTATTTGCATATGTTATATTAAGAGGCATGCAAATGTATGTGCAAAACGGGCATAATTAATCATTTCCACCGGTGATGGATATCCTATCTCCAATCTTGCCGCCCAACCCCTCCTTTCTTTTGAGCACAGATGTGTGTTTCTAACCTCCTGGGATCCCAGCATTATGTGCAATACCCTTTCCCCCAACCCCAGCTCCTACAGTTAAGGGACTGAAACATGGGAAGTAATTCCATGTTCTTATCCAAAGACTAAGCAAATAAACTTTGAAAAGCAGTAAATAGGGCCATTTGTTTTTAATCCTAGTTCTTATTGTCAGGAATGTCTAGAAAGCTTTTCAAAAGTTCAGATTCCCTAACCACCTCAAGATTCACATTCAGGAGGTTTGGGGTAGGCCAGGAAATTTATAACTGTCTAAAACCCCCTGGGTGATTCAGATGACTGGTCAGGATTGGGCACTATGGGCATATATAAAAGAGCTTTGGACAGAATGAGGGAACTTTGATAATAACGTAGTTATTATTTTTGTTGTTAACCATAATTTTTCTTAATATTGAGTTCTTCCTACATAACAGGCATGTTACTAAACATTTTACGTATATTATCACTGAATCATCATAACAACCATCCTCTTACAGATGAGGAAACTAAGAGTTGGAAAGGTTAATAATTTGCCTAAAACCAGAGATAGTAAGTGGCAAAGCAAGAATTTGCTTTTATCACTAAGTAGTGCATGAGTCATTTGAGTAGTTACGTGAGTCATTTAAGTCATTAATTTTTCTCATTTGGACTGAGGGATGTTGGACTAGACACTAGATCACTTCTAATCTTCCTTCAAGCTCTAACGTTTATTTGTGGAACTGAGTTGAACCGGAAGACATGGTTTTCGGTCTTCTGGAGCTTAAGATGTGTTGTCAGACTCCCTTGCCCTCCTTCCCATGTCAGGTTTAAAGTACTTCTTCATCTATGGCTCCTCGTTTTCTATGGAGCAAAAACTCCCTCACTGTCAGCCCCGATCCCTCTCTTGAGTCTCATCTCCCAGCACCTCAGGGCAGAATCCCAACCCTCCAGCTAGATAATGGGCTTACCAGCTCTGTGCCCTTGCTCACAGTATTCTTTCTGTCCCAAAGCTTTGTCCTTCTTGGTTGCTTGATGGACCAATCCCGCTCACTGTTCACAGACCTCCTACATACCAATTCCTTTGTGTAGGCATCCCTCTTTTCCTGGTCAGAATTAATTTGTTCTTTTATGATTTTATTTTGTGTTACAGGTAAAGTGAACTTCAGTCCTAGCTCTCCGGCAATCTCAGTTTCAAATATTCTATCAGTTTATCCGCATAAGCATGGCAGTACTTGGCAGTCTTGGTTTAGACAACATGGCAACTGTAGTTATGGCATATATATCCGACTAGGGGTGTGAACTGTTTTCCTATTGGTGAGATTCTAGAGGGCAGAGGCACCTGCCGAATCTGTTTGACTGTTCTCCCATCCATAGCCATCCATCCATCTGACCCTCCATTCCTTTATTTTATTTCTTTATTTTAATTAACTTTTAAATTCTAATTCCAGCACAGTCAACATACAGTGTTAGTTTCAGGTGTATAATATAACATACAGTATTATATTAGTTTCACAGATTCAACAGTTTATACATTACTCAGTGCTCATCATGATAAGGAAAATCTTCTCTGTAGTTAAGAGTCTAGGGTAGGTATCTGGGTGGCTCAGTCAGTTAAGTCTCTGGTTCAGGTCATGATCTCAGGGTCAGGAGATCAGGCCCTGCATGGGGCTCTGTGCTGGGAGTGGAGCCTGCTTAAGATTCTCTCTCTCCCTCTCCCTCTGCTCATCTTCCTCACCCAACTCATGTGTTTCTAAACAAACAAACAAGAGTCTATTTCTTAGTTTATCTCCCCTTTTTTCTTTGCTCATTTGTTCTGTTTCTTAAATTCCACATATGAGTGAAATCATATGATACTTATCTTTCTCTAACTTATTTTGCCTAGTGTTATACTCTCTAGCTCCATCCACGTTGTTGCAAATAGTAAGATTTCACTTTTTTATGGCTGAATAATAATCCATTTTATATATATATACATATATATATATATACACACACCACATCTTCTTTATCCATTCATCTATCCATAGACACTTGAGCTGCTTCCCCAGAATTTGGCAATTGTAAATAATGCTGCTGTAAACACAGGGGTGCATGTATCCTTTTGAATTGGTATTTTTGTATTTTGGGGGTAAATACCTAGTAGTGTGATTGCTGGATTGTAGGGTGGTTCTATTTTTAACTTTTTGAGGAACTTCCATACTGTTTTCCAGAGTGGCTGCACCAGTTTGCTTTCCCACCAACAGTGTATGAGGGTTCCCCTTTCTCCACATCCTCACCAACACCTGTTGCTTCTTGTGTTGTTGATTTTTAGCCATTCTGACAGGTGGGAGGTGAGATACCTCATTGTGATTTTGATTTGCATCTCCCCGATGATGGTGACGTTGAGCATCTATTCATGAGTCTGTTGGCCATCTATATGTCTTCTTTGGAGAAATATCTGTTCATGTCTTCTGCCCATTTTTAATCAGATTATCTGTTTTTTTAGTGTTGAGTTGTATCAGTTTTTTATATATTTTGGATACTATCGGAAATATCATTTGCAAATATCTTCTCCCATACAGTAAGTTGTATCTTACTGTAAGGGAGAAGTTTGACTGTTTCCTTCACTGTGCAGAAACTTTTTATTTTGATGTAGTCCCAATAGTTTGTTATTTAGTCTTTGTTTCCCTTGCCTCAGGAGACACATCTAGGAAAATAGTTGTTACGGCTGATGTCAGAACATTATTGCCTGTGCTCTGTTCTAGGATTTTTATGGTTTCAGGTCTCACATTTATGTCTTTAATCCATTTTGAGTTTATTTTTGTGTGTGGTGTAAGAAAGTGGTCCAGTTTCATTCTTTTGCATGTTCCAGTCCAATCTTTCCAACACCGTTTGTTCAAGAGACTTTTTCCCATTGTATGTTCTTTCCTCCTTTGTCAAAGATTAACTGACCATATAATCATGGGTTTATTTCTGGGTTTTCTATTCTATTCCATTGATCTATGTGTCTATTTTTGTGCCGGTACCATACTGTTTTGATTACTACAGCTCTGTAATATAACTTGAGGTCTGGAATTGTGATACTTTCAGTTTTTTCTTTTTCAAGATTGCTTTGGATATTCAGGGTCTTTTGTGGTCCCATACAAATTTTAGGATTGTTCTAGTTCTGTGAAAAATGCTGTTGGCATTTTGATAGGGATTGCATTAAATCTGTAGATTGCGCTGCATCCACTCATTTATTTGCATATATGTCAGTTTATACACCCCCAATTTTTTTTAAAGATTTTATTTATTTATTTGAGAGAGAGAATGAGAGAGAGCACGAGGGGGGGAGGGTCAGAAGGAGAAGCAGGCTCCCCGCCGAGCAGGGAGCCTGATGTGGGACTCGATCCCGGGACTCCAGGATCATGACCTGAGCCGAAGGCAATCGCTTAACCGACTGAGCCACCCAGGTGCCCTATACACCCCAAATTTAAACTGCCTCTACTTGGCACAAAATGACACTTCAGTTTTTGTTGAATTGATATTAACTGATTTTATGTGAATTTCTGCTTGGATAAATCTTTTGCAATCAGCTTCTTCTCCACCACCACCCCTGCCACCTTGAATAAAAACTATTTCTTCTGAGGAAGTAGGTAATGAAGTATCAGAGGAATAATAACTATAGAAAATGAATAGAAAGACAAAAATGTTAAATTTGATTAGTGCTGGCTATCAGCATAATAAAAGAGACAAAGCTGACATTGTGCTTTGGTTAAAAGACAATAACGAAGGCCAAGCTCCTCAGTTGGATCTGTGCCCAGCAGTGCCTTTGTAACAAGCCTGGAAAAAGATTCAGACAGCATGTAACCAATGTGACCTGTAAGACTAAGTGAAGGTAAGCAAGAGACCGTGTCTTAGATCGGGCTCCTAAAACAAAATACCATAGACTGGCTGGCTGGTAAAAAACTGAAATTTATTTCTCATAGTTCTGAAGCTGCAAGTCAATTATCAAGGTGCCAGCATGGGCAGGTTTGGTTGAAAGCTCTCTTCTGTGTTGCAGACTACTAATTTCTTGTGGTATCCTCACATGGCAGAAAACTTAAGAGAGGAAATAATCTCTCTTGTGACTCATATAAGGGCACTAACCCCATTTCTGTAGGCTCCATCCTTATGACCTCATCTAAACCAAATAACCTTCCAAAGGCCCCACCTCCTAATACCATCACAATGTGGGATGTGGCTCCAACATATGAATTTTGAGGAGACACAAACATTCATTCCATAATAAGCCACCAATATATAGGTCCTCGGGGCCAGTCATCCAACCCACCACAAGAGCTGGCAGCGTTCAGGGAAAAGAAGTATAGTAGACTTCCAAAAGGAGATCTGTATGTTTGGACACCAAGAGAACAAGGTACATAAAAAAATTTTTTTTACTTAAATCTTTTCATAGTCATTATTGCTTGGCAACTTGGGGAAACTTTCAGACCTCCCAAGGTCTTCTTAAACATCGATTCTCTGTGCTCCCTGACTTTGTATCTGCCCCATTAACTACCATATTGTGGTTTACTCTGACTTTATCTGTCACTTACTTAGACTGAAAGCTCTACAAAGAAGACAAGGAATAATTCACTTTGGTGTTCCCAAGGCCTGGTAAAGACATGAGAATTCCTCAATATGTTTGATGGATTAATAAAGGGAAAAATTAGCCACCTGCACCTATTATGGGTAGTTCCTTTTAATGATCACCTTTATAGGCTTGTAGAGTGGGAGGTGTTCTGTTTGTGTCATCCTGATGAAAGAGTAGGCTATCTCAGACTAGGGGTAGGCTTTTGACCCTGGGGCGGGGGTGGGGGCTAAACTTGGTGACAGCAAGGTAGAAAGGATAAAAGTGATCAAAGTGTAGGGGGTGTAATTGCACCAAATCCCCTCTGAAATAGAACACCAGACCTTTACTATCCCAGTAATTGCTAAAAAGCAGCTACAGTTCTGATTTTATTCTACTAGGACAGGAAAAGTTTCTTTTGCAAGCGTTTGTTCTCTCCCTTCCACCTTTACATGAGTATCCAAAGAATTCTTGTATAGGTAGCAAATGGCCTCCTCCTTGTGCACGATGAGAATTATAGCTTAACATTTACTTCCTCTTAACCAGGGCCCAGGAATCCTGAATCAATAATTTCAAAGACCTAATGAGATGGCCTTTGCTTCGTAATGTGTTTTTCTATATCCCACTACCCATATGCCCTGCCCTTTTCTTTTTACAATCATCTGCAATTAGTTTTCCGTTATGACTTGTTTAGAACAGAAAATGCATTTCCCTTGATCATCTACTTGAATATTATAAAATTATTCCATGTTTGATGAAACCTTGGTTATTGAAAAGAGGTTGTTCACAGGTGACCATATTTTCTTGTAGAGAAGTTTTTGAGGCTTGCCTTAGGGGTTAATGATGAGTCCTATAAGTGTTAGGGCTTTTAATATTATCCTAGCACAGCTTCCAACACATTTCAAGTCACCTTTACTTGCATCTCAGTCAGAAATCAAAGATACATGATTCTTGCTTCAGCCCTATTAAGGGACATATTAAAAACAATAACAACACATGGTCTATGGTGAATGGTCAACACATTGACACTCTTGCTCCTTTTTCTCTACTCTTTCCTTTCTCTAGTGTACACCTAAAGAGCATGACCCCACTGAATGTCAGTGGAAGTAAAAGGCACTATTCTGCTATAATTTTCTGATATTTTTTCCTAGATCCCAACGCCAGTGGGGATGTGGTTCTAAAGGCTTCAGATGATTGAGATCCCACCTTTTTAAGATTACCTTGTGTTGTTGTAATTGTTTGTGACCCTTTACTGTGAAAATTTACCAAAAAAGCAATCTGTTTTGTTTTTGTTTTTTTCCATTTTTCAAATCCCATTACTTTGTTGTCTGAAGATAATATTGCGCGTGTGCGTGTGCGTGCGTGCATGTGTGTGTGTGTGTGTGAGAGAGAGAGAGAGCGAGAGAGAGAGAGAGAGATGTATCCATCTACTGTGGAGATTTTATGTGAACTATAACTCAAATTCCTTTCGACTGGGAAGTTTTAGTCAGATTAGATCTAGATGAAGTTTTAAGAGAAGTCTTTCAATGGTAAAAATAGCAAAGCACTTAAGAAAATGTTATCTACATACAAATAGTTCATACTTTCAAAGGATATTTCTTATTTCTAATATTCAACCATTCTGACCATTTCAATAGACCATACACAGAAAGTATAATCCTCCTTTCCCTACTTTATTATTTCTGATAGTGATATCACAGACCGAAGGATCATTAAAATCAGGCCCTGGATTTTTTATTTTCTTCAAAGGAAGTTGTCAAGATAAAGTATATGCTTTTTAAATCAGCTTATCACTGATAAGTCACTCCTTAGATTATTAAAGTTGCAAGAACTTTCACAACATCATTTACTTTTTGTAGAGAAAAAATTTAATTATTATGGTAAGAAGAGAATAATGCAAGCCTATTCAGAGTTGTTGAAAGGCATAACTCCCGATACCTTATGCAGTACTTTGCAATACTGTCACTTCTCAATCATTTGAATTCAGAATCTCTGCCGTGTGTTTGAGCAAAATCTTTTGCTGGCGCTTGTCTCATTAGGGCTGGAAGATCCTTCCTCCAGACTATCTGGTGTGTTGTCTCTCAAACTGGTGTTTTGCAGGGCACTGACCTTCAGGATGGTGGAAGAGACAATAGAGCAGAGTGGTTGAGATCATAGCAGTTATGGGCATGAGCTGAACATGGACCCATGGCAAAGTAGGTAAGAGTCCCAGGACACCGAGTATTTCAATGCTGCGCACCTGATGTCAACATAGTTCAAGCAGATTTTAATGCAGATACAGTCCTAGTTCTGTCCTTTCTACCTCTATGATTTTAAATGTTACCCTCGCAAATCCTCAGTCTTATTATTTATAAGATAGGCATAATTTTACAAGTTCCTGTCTCACTGGTGGTTGTGAGAATAAGATGAAATGATGCATGTCAATTTTTTTGTTCATGTATTTGTTTATTGCCTTTCTTCTGTCTTACCTCCAAGTAAAAATCAGGACTTTGTCTTATTCATGGAGGTATATCCAGTGCCAGGAACCATGTAGTACACATAGCAGGAGCTCAACAAATGTTTTTACAGAATAAATGGGGGCGCCTGGGTGGCTCAGTCGTTAAGCGTCTGCCTTCGGCTCAGGTCATTGGGATCGAGCCCCACGTCAGGCTCCCTGCTCCTCAGGAAGCCTGCTTCTCCCTCTCCCACTCCCCCTGCTTGTGTTCCCTCTCTCGCTGTGTCTCTCTCTGTCAAATAAATAAATAAAATCTTTTAAAAAAATAAATGAATGAATGAATTTTGGGCACCTGGGTGGCTTAGTCGGTTGGGCGTCTGCCTTCGGCTCAGATCATGATCTGAGTCGGGTCTTGGGATTGAGTCCTGCGCCGGACTCGTTGCTCAGCTGGGACCCTACTTCTCCCTCTCCCTCTGCCCACCCTCCCCCTGCCGCTTGTGCTCTCTCTCTCTCAAATAAATAAAATATTTCAAAAAATAAATGAATTTTAAAAAACATGATAAATTCTTGGCATGATTCCTGGCAGACAGTAAGTGCTCAATAGATATTAGAATAAAAACCTACTTCTGTGAGATATTTTTTCAAATAAAGGACCTTGTGTAATATATATTATAAAGACTCTGAGAGAGCCGTTAGTGAAGAAACCTGTATAACTTCATTAGTTCCATTTACCATCTTGTTTGGGCAGAAAACCTTTTCTTCCCAGCTCTACCTGTTAAATAACATTCTGCAACATTACCAATGGACACATGTTGGGAAATAATGAGTTAGTCTGGTATGCCTATGTTAGAAATAAGGAAACTGAGGTCCAGAAGTTAAATGATTTGCCTGGGTCAAGTAGCCAGTAGCAGCAATTCCAGAATTAGAGGGAAATATTCCAAATCTCAGGCCTGCATTCTTTCCCCCAGGCCAAGTGAGCAGGGGCATGTGGGCAGTGACATTGTACCAGAAGATATGGATTCAAGACCCACCTGCATTTCCCAGCATTAAGGTCTCTATCAGACACTGCTGGAACCCCTTCTCCTATCCTCTCCTCCTTTTAATGGGGCCTCTTTGATACCTGAGCATGGTATACCTCCTAGAACTGGTCCTTATGAATGCGAAACCTGGAAGTGTGGGGGTCTTACCCACCCACAGGGTAACTCTTGACCAATAGGAATGGTTACTCTTGGGTAAATGCTTTCTCCTTCTGTCCCTAAGGCAGATAATTCCAGGTGCATTCTATGTGTCTCCCTTTAGGGGCCCTGTGGGATGGACCCCAGTTGCCCACATCAGTGGCATAGTCCACAAGTGAGTAGCAGTATAGGCAACTCTTCAAATTCCTAGCTTTTGTCCTTTACAGTCTGTCTTTTCCCAGGTGTGTTACGCTTTTGCTTACTACTGAAAACAGCTGTGTCATCTCTCACGAGCCCATTAAACAGGTGCTGGGTTTCACACCAAAGGTGGCTGCGATTCAGCAGGTGGAGGCGTAAAATAGGAAGTGAAATCTAAACAGAAGTTGGACTAGAATGGAGGCCGCTAGCAGAGGAGAGGTGCTACTAGGCTCAAAGCTCTGCTGTTTTTTTCCTCCTGAATTTTCAAGAATTTTGAGAAGGCATGAGAACAATGTGTTTACAAACATATTCTGTGTTTGTGACACCTTCTGGTTTTTCTGTTATGCTGAATAAAACAAGGGAGCTATAGTTGGTGTGGGGAAAGAGTGAAATTGAGATAGTTACCACAGTCCTTTAACAACATTGGGTAACCTACCAGGGCATGAGAGGTTCAAGCTTTAAGCTTCTCATTCTGCTCTTTATATCCAAGGCAAGATAGGGCGGCAACACAGCTGTATTAGACTGTGGAAACAAAGACCCAAGCATCTCAGTTTATTTCCCGCTCATGTAATAATACAGTGCAGGTGTTCTCTTCAGCAATTAATTTTCTTCTGTGTTATGACTCAGGGACATGGGCTCTTCCACGTTGTGGCTCTGTTGTTCTCTGAAGCCTTGTCCCTGTCATCTGCATTCAGCTGGCAGAAGAAGAGTATGCAGAGGGGACCCTGCTCACGGAAAACCAAAGCTCGTATTCCACTGGCAAAAATTGGTCCCATGGCTTCCCCTAGAAGCAAGGAGGTTGGGAAATGTAGTGACCAGCTAGGGCAGTGACTTCTCAGCAACAACTGTTCTATGGAAGGTGGAGCATGAGTTGGGCAGAGCAACTGGCCATCTCTACCACAGCAGTACAATTGTCAAGAATGCCAGTTCTAGGGTCCAATGAGTCTGGATCCAGACCCTGGTTCTGCCACTAGCTAGCTGTGCATGTGGGCATGTTATTTCACTTCTCTGAGACCTCTTCCTCATCTGTAAAATGAGGATAATGGAAGAATCTGTCTCTCAGAGTCGCCATGGGATTGAACTGAGATCATGTATATACAACTCTTAATGAGTGTGCCCGGCACATAATGAGCACTCAGCAAATGGTGTTTTTATCATTAACTATGAAGAAATGCCACCATCTCACTCAGTGAGTTTTCTATAGTTTGCAAGAAACAGAAACATATAAAAGTTATCTCACCTAATTTGAATTTATTTTCTAAGAGATACAGGGCATAAAAAAAGGCAGGAAAAAATCTGAGCAACCATACAGCCAGCTTCTTAGCATGAGAACATTGCACATGTGAAGAGAAGGGCTTCACTTGTGGAACAATAGACCTGGAAGCTTAGGAGTACCGCTCAAGACGAACACTGGCTGCCCCACCCACAGGAGTCAGCTCTTTGCTGGTTCATCATCTCTTTTTCTGCCGCTCTGTCTGACCACTCTGCCCATCTCAGCCCCTCCTTGTTTCTTCTCTGAGCTTTTCTCTGTGTATCATGGCTTCTTTGCCATTATATTTTCTGTAAGTCTCTGTCTATGTCTTGTGCTCAGACACCCTGAGAGGATCCGATTGTTAGATAGTCCTTATCCAATAAAGGGCACCTGTCACTGGCCACAACCCAGAGCCAATCCACCTAGGCTTTTGATGGCTGATTTTGTGCCTACTGTGAATCTCTGGCTCAATCAACTGTGCCTCTGGTAGTAGGAATATATCATACAAACATGGTGATCTGGTACAAAAAAATGTTTCATGCTTCCTTGTTTAGAAAGGAATAGTAGTTGGAGCTGGCACTCAGAATATCAGGAATAGGGAAAAGCATTAAAATTTACAGTGGTGAATAGTAATTTCTTTGACATCAGCCTAGAAACATTTTCTAGATATTTCTCTCCAGGCAAGGGAAACAAAAGCAAAATTAATCTATTGAGACCACACCAAAATAAAAAGCTTTTGCACAGTGAAGGAAGCCATCAAGAAAACAAAAAGACAACCTATGCAATGGAAGAAGATATTTGCAAATGATATATCCAATAAAGGATCAGTACCCAAAATATATAAGGAACTTAGACAACTCAACAGCCAAAAAACAAATAACCTAATTTAAAAATGGGCACAAGACACGAATAGACATTTCTCCAAAGAAGACATCCAGATGGCCAACAGATACACGAAAAGATGCTCAACATCACTCATCATCAGGGAAATGCAAATCCAAATCACAGTAAGACATCACCTCATACCTGTCAGAATGGCTAAAATCAACAACACAAGAAGCAACAGGTGTTGGCGAGGATATGGAGAAAGGAGAACCCTCATACACTGTTGGTGGGAAAGCAAACTGGTGCAGCCAGTCTGGAAAACAGTATGGATGTTCCTCAAAAAGTTAAAAATAGAACTACCCTACAATCCAGCAATTGCACTACTGGGTATTTACCCAAAGAAAATGAAGACATTAATTTGAAAATACACACGCGCCTCTATGTTTATTGCAGTATTATTTAGAATAGCCAGAACAAGGAAGCAGCCCAAGTGTCCATTCATAGATGAATGGATAAAGAAGTGGTACTTATACCCAATGGAATATTACTCAGCCATAAAAAAGGAATGTGATCTTGCCATTTGCAACAACATCGGTGGACCTAAAGAGTATAATGCTAAGTGAAATAAATCAGACAGAGAAGGACAAATATCATATGATTTCACTCATATGTGGAATTTAAGAAACAAAAAAAGAATGAACAAACAAAGAAAAAAGAGACAAACAAAAATACAGAGAACAAACTGGTGGTTGTCAGAGGGGAGGTGGGTGAGAGGATGAGTGAAATAGATGAAGGGGATTAAGAGCATACACTTATTGTGATCAGCATTGAGTAATATGTGGAATTGTTAAATCATTACACTGTTTACCTGAAATGAATTATTTTTTTACTTTTTTTTTTATTATACTTCAATTAATTTTTTTTTCCCCTGGTGAAAATCCTCAAACATATTATCTGCCTTTAATTTGCTATGGATTAACTTGGCTCCCCAAATCTTATGAAGGAGTGCTTAAAGACATTTTTAAAATTTATTTATTTGAGAGAGTGGGCGAGAGAGAGAGAGAGAGAGAGAGAGAGAGAGAGAGCGAGAGCAAGCACAAGTGGGGGAGGAGTAGAGGGAGAAGGAGAAGCAGACTCCCCGTTGAGCAGAGAGCCTGATTCGAGGCTCGATTCTCAGACTCTAGGATCATGACCTGAGCTGAAGGCAGACACTTAACTGACTGAGCCACCCAGGTGCCCCTAAATGAGTGCTTAAAAGCGACATTTTAAGGTCAGTTCATTTAACTGGTATCCCTGGTTGAAGTTTGTCTACATTTACCCATCTCCGATACTGCCATCAGGGTTCCTGTCCCCATATAAATCTGATTATTCTACTTTGCCTGCTTAAAAATCTAAATGGATTCCTTTCTATCTGTAAGTAAGCTCCAACTTCTTCACCTGGCATACCAGGCCCTCTAGACACTGCCACTCATGACTTATCTTCTACCTTCCCCTCTACTACCCTTCTGCCAGTGACCCACCACACTGGATTTTCTCCATTCTCTTTCACACTTTTGGACCATGTATACGCTGTTCTCTGCTAGGAATTTCGTTCCCTACCCCGTTAGCACCTAGCAAATACTGATTTATCCTTCAAGGTCCAACTTCTCTCCAAGGTGTTTTTCTGGATCCTCCAGTCTCCATCTGTCTCCTCCCTACCCCCTACCCTCCTAGGCCTAGGTGAAACCAGCTATCTCTTTACCTGATTCCTGTAGCATGTAAACATACCTCTGTGGTGATGTTTATTATTTTACATCCTGGTTATCCAAGAGTTCGTCTCCCAGGCACATAGCTGTGAGCCTCAAAAGCAGAGAACATGTCTTACTCATCTTTTACATTCCCAGGGCCCAAGAGAACATCTGTCTCATTTAGCACTCAATGCCTGTTTGTTGAATTCTATTGGAATTCAAAACCCTGATACCGCAGAGGAATCTGGAGCATGAAAACAAAAGGTACTCACTCTCCTGTGTATTTCCTTTTACACAGGATCTTTACTTCTCAAGGGTCATTTTATGGTGGACCACACTTAGTCTATTCTATATAGTATGAAAGAGAAGTAAATCTATGTTTTCTATAAAGTCACCTAATGAAAGCTTCCATTCTTATTTAAAATCTAGGAAAAGCAGATTATTTTTAAAAGTCATGTGATCCTCAAACGTCCTTTCTTACATGTTTTCTCTTAATATAAGTGTCATCATCAGGGGAGTAATGAAGCCACCAAGGTATGTTAACTGAAGACAGGAAAAAGCCACGTTTCTCCACATGTGGACACAGACCCTCTTTGAGTTTTTGAAAACTAATTTCTTATTACTAGACCTTTTTTTTTTTTTTTTTTTGCGGAGGGACACTTGCACTTTGGACTCTTGTGGAGAAGTTGGCATTTGGAAACGTGTGTGGGGCTGGTATGAGTGTCACAGTGGTCAGACGACCAGAGGGTGCTCGGCATTTAGTGGGTGGGAGCCACGAATGTTAAACACCTTGCAATGCATGGGTCAGTCATGAAACCGAACATTGTCCCATCCAATGCCAATAACCTCCAGCTGAGACCACTGAGTTAAGGGATATGTTAAGCCCCCTAGTTGAAAACCATTGAGTTAACTATTGATATGCTTGAAGCCTTTTTTTTGTTTTTAAGATGAGATGAGAGCAAACCATAGGAATCCAAAAGGAAGCTCCTGACTTAGTTTAAAGACTTTTGATTTAAAGAAAATTCAGTTTTTATTCTGTGCATAAAATATGGGCTTATATCACATTCACTGGAAACAGGAGACTTCTAAAAGCATCCACGAGAGAAGGAGTTAGCATGCCCTCTTGCTTGTGAATATAAGGCAGAATAATGGAATAAAATGGCCCTTCCTTTGAAATACATTTAATTTAATAAAACACCAAACTAAAGGCAGAACAGTCTCATCCCTATTACAAAATAACCTGCAGAGTGAAAACTGAAACATGCACAATTTCATTAACCTTCCATTCATAAAGCATAATGTAGGGAAAATGCCATTTTAACATCCAAGTGAACAAGGCTATTTCCATGCCTTGAGAGAGCTTTACATATTAACATTGTCAGTGTAGAAATGATGTGGAAGAACAAAATCTTAGACAGACAAAGCACTGAGAAATATTTATCCTTTTAATCATCTATTTTTTTGGATGAAGATATTTCCTTTTCATATAGTGTTTTGTCTGCTTTGTTACATATTCTTAACAGCATAAGGAAAGCGTGTGGGTTGTGACTTAGTGATATTTATCAGATCTGGGGATTGTGTTAAATCCTGATCAAGGGTGTGTAGAATCATAGAATTTCAGAACTTCGCAACATCAAAAGAGATCACAAGAATCAAGTTCCCTATTTTGCAGATAAGGAAGCTGAAGCTCAAAGAGATTAGGGACAGTAGAAGTGATGGCTCGCTCCAAGGCCAGGGAGAGGAAGCAGCAGATCTGGGTAGGTTTGCTCTGGAGCTCCATGCATCTTCTGGTTACAGACTGTCTTTAGTGAACCTTTAATTATTTTCTGAATAGACAACGACAATTCAAAACCCTGTTCATTTTACAGCATTCCTTAGCTGTTAGTACCAATACAGTGAGTTCCTGACAAAAAAAGAGACAGAGGAATTGGGGTAAAAACAAACAACTATGCAATTTACAAAATTGCAAAACATATCCACCTAACATTTGAAAAACATGTCATATTTCATTAAGATATTGTGCTACATTCAACTACAGTCATTGCAGAAGGATGCAGCATCATTTACCTTCTCTGGCCCTAATGCGTTGGCACAAGGCAGGCCCATCCTTTGGCACCCACCCCTTCCTCCCTCCCACACATGTCATTTGCAAATAAATTGTGCACCTAACATTTGCTTTGTACAAGTGAATTTTAAACCCAGGAAACAATACAGTATATTTTAGTATATTGTAACAATAGGCTTCAAGTTTAATGAGATTTGGATCTAATGTAGCAATTTGGAAGTCTCTTCAAGCTTATTAAAATGAGATTCTACAATAGGTACAATAACATTTGGAATGTGACCATGTCTTGCTTCCGAGAAGCTTTTTCAGTGTATATGTAAAGCAAATTGTTTATGTAATACTCTCCTCTCCTTTCCAGAGTTCTAGTCTATGAGCACTGATCCTGGAACAAAATGTCCCCATTTGACAGGTATTGTAGCATTTGGGTAATTAGCTTAAAATCTAGCTGATTTGTCCTCCTGCTACTAGCCCCGAGGTGACCAGCGTCTGAAAGCTTGTTTTAAAGCCATTCAACAAACAGGAAGAACCACACCTGTTGCATGTGATTTCTTCCCCATTAAACTAGGATGAATAATTTATTAAGAACTGCTTATGCACAGACACTCCAGTGAGTGGCTGAGAGAGAAGATTGTTGGCTGCTGGTGTTTTCGCTATTTCTGGCTGTTCTTGAGCAGAAGCTTCCCCCCCCACCCCGCACCGCTCCACCCCGTGGCAGTAAGCCAAAAAGCCCTGTGACCCCAGACTTTCATTTAAGCCCTTAGTGCCCCAGAACCTTCCCCTATGGCAAAGGCCATTGTTTCTTTTGTAACTGTGGCAGACACTGTGGGTTGGCTACTCAACTGACCTTCACAGCCCCCATCTTTCTATAGGTTGAAATAGGCAGATGTTCCTATTCCCTGCTCCCTTGCAGCCAGAGTGGTCACATAACCCAGGTTTAAACTATAAAGCCTAAGGCAAAGTCTGTTGGGGGGTGGGGGTGGGGGGCTTCTGGGAAATCGCTTCTTCCCTATTTGAGAGGTGGTATGGCACTGCAAGGGCTCTGGAGGCAAAATGCCAGAGTTTGAGTCCCAGCTCTTCCAGTTCTTGTCTGTGAATCCCTGATAAAGTTAATTATACTCTCTGGGCTTTGGTTTTTCTTATCTGCTGTAGAATTAAATGAGTCAACATATATAAAGTACTTAGGGTAGCCCCTGACATACTGTAAATGCTCAAAAAATTTAGTTACAATTATAATTAATAAAAAGTAGAAGGCTTATGATAAATATTTCTGCTAGCTGCCTTTGAAAATGGCTTTATGAGGTCATGATGCCTGGAGTCATGGCAACAATTTTGTGACCATGAGGGGAAGATCAAGAGAATCACAGACTGATTCTATCCTTTCATTGTGAAGATGCTGACCCAAACCTGCCTAGCTCAAGGTTTTCTTCAGTAAACAATAGATATTCTTAACAGTGGATATTCTGCTGCTATCTGCAGAATAATCCCATCTAATACTGTCACTATTAACTCAACATTTAAGCCCTGCCATCTTGGCCTCCAGCTGTTCTCTTGGCTTTGCTTACCCTGTACCGCTTCCTCCTCTGGTGAAAATCTTTTAGGATGTTCCCTCCTAACAGTATGTAATGGATTTTCTTTAATCTGCTCTGGGAACTCTCTTAAATAGACTGTGGGTTTGATAACAGCCTCCTGCGTGAGAATCAGGGTTTAAGGAGGGACAAGGGAGTTATTAACTCCTCATCCTACTTCTGAGCAGGATCTAACTGTAAAATAGGTAGGTCCTCCTTGCTCCTGTAGGGCTGGCCCCTGCCTGTAAATATTTTCATGAGTCGCAGGGGTCCCAATCTGGCAACCTACAGGCTGTCTCTGAGGTGGCTGTAGGGGATCTCCTCAATCTCCAGGCATCATAGCATGTGGGTTCTGATGGGAATCCAAGGCCACGGCACATATAGATGTGGACAGGAGAATTGAGTGGTGCCTTGAATATCACATGATGCTTCTTCGCCAAGATCATGGTAGAGCTGCCCCAGCTCTGCTCCCCCAGTGCACTTAAATTTCTTCTAGCAAAGTTTGTTCTCCCTGCTCTTTCATTTTCCAGACCACTCCTGAGAAGACCGATCTGAAAAATATTGAAGGCAATGATCTTATAGAATGGCAGAGGAAGGAAGAAACACGAAAACAGCAGCTCTGGGACTCACTCTTCTCTAGACAATTGGCTTCTTGCCGGGTACCTTACATCTATGTTTCTATACCCAACTTTGATGATAAGCTCCTAAGGATTTCTCCCAGTCTGTTCTTCACTGAAACCACTGTAAAATCACAGTAAAAACAAGAATAATGAAAAGAAGGTTACTTTGTACCCCACCTGGGTTCTAGAATTAAATCCAGCTCGGGTCAGAAAAAAGCCATTGGGACCCAGTTGCTGTCACCGACCATTAGACCTCAGTGAAATTATTTTCAATATTTCCAGTGCGTTTGTAGATGGTTTTTCTGTCATATAAAATTCAGAACGAGGAGGGAGTTTCTCTGGGGAAATTTAGAAGAAAGAAAGGCACATTTATCTATTGCCTGGGTCTGTTTTCATTTTTTAAGCACATCGGTGTATTTATTATTTATCTAAACACCCACAAGGTGTCACATACATGTAAGGATCGACACATGGCCATGGGCTACATTCTCAGAAGAGATTGGACCCTCTGGAAGTCAAGATAAATGATTTGGGTTATTAAGGTGTTGGTGAATGAATTAATGAATTGTCCCAGCTCTTCAGCACCCTGTGTCCTGCTAACTCTCAGGCCGTGCTTATTCAATGTACATAACAGACACACTGCCATGCACATCGCTGGGGGATGGCCCAGGGCTCACCAGGGACCTCGGTTCCTAGAACTTCCAGAAACAGAGCAATAGAAGCTCCTTCATAGCATTTCCACCCCCACCGTGTCCGACTTGCCCAAGCCCCCTCTCCAGCTAAACAAGCCGTCCCCCCCCCCCCCAGTGCTTCCTGAGTCCTTAATCCTTTTACTGAGAAGCCAGAAAAAGAGGTCAGTGCAAAATGGGTGTTGCAAAGAAAAACCCTGGGTCTTTTTTACCCAAGAAAAGCAGAGCATTTCTGAATTCTGGCTCTGAGACAGAAAAGCCCTGTCTCTAAGTCCCGGCTCATGATGACTGCCTGCGGACTTACTGGAAAGTATTCCGGCTGATATTAACTGTCATGATCACGTATCTGGGGAGAAACACTTTGAAAGTACCCAGAGCCGGTGGTTTGGAAGCAGGAAGGCCAAGCAGTCTACTATTATTATGCATTAACTTTAAATGAGAGAATATAAGAAAGCTTTGGGATATGTGGAGTCTTAGGCGTATGCCTCGTACTGTGCCAAGTGTTCTTATGTTCCGAGAACTTAGACACCAGGAGGGAGACAAGACCATTCTATGCAAAATAAATAAACAGTTAAGGGCTTGACTGCATGGTTGTGTAGATAGTGGGGTGTCAGCTGGACCTGAGAGAGCACTGGGACTGAAGATGTCAAGGGCACTTGGGAGAGAGGCTGCAAACTCATGGCTGGGGCTCTGTCAGGGAGAACATAAATTTAGAAAAGATTAAGATACAGCAACTTGTTTTTATCCACAAAGGCTATCTGTGTGGTTCAGGAATGCAATCAGACAACTTACGTGGGTCTGGCTCAAACTTCGTACTTAGTTTAAGATATGATTTATAGCTTCAGACAGTAAACACAAAGATACTGCAAAATGATTTGAGTATTTAGAACAAAACTGAGAGCTGGTTTTACTAGCTACGTAGCATGTGGCTACGTAGGAACTGATGTTTGATGGCTTCTTCTTCCTACAGATATTAATGAGTTAGGACCTCCATTTCCAGGAAACGTATGTTCATGGTTTTAGTCACCTTCTTGCTAGAGAGACAATAGGAGGGAACTGCATTTATTCCATCCATGGATTTCGCTTTGTCTGGATTCCCAAAGTAACGAATGAGTTTTTAGGTAGCAGTAGATGAATTCTTTTTTGCCTTTTCCTGACATGTAGACTACCTAGGAGGAAAATCTAGCCAGGGGAGTATTTAGGGAAAAGAGTACTGATGCCTGCAATTTACTTTGAAATGCTTCAAAAAACAAGATGGATTGCTGGGTGGATGCAGGGATGGATAGATATGTAGATATGTGAGAAAGCAAGTCTAATAAAATAGTAATGAAAAAAATCTAAGTGGTAAGTATAAGCCCGCTCACATAAAATTATTTTAACTTTTATAATAATATGGTGGGAGAAAACTGAGGTTACCCCACCACATAGACACACACTTTCATCTAATAGTTAAAGATCATAATCTGAAAGGACATAGAAAAAGTAGCTTAGACTAAGTCCTAGAAATGAATGAGAAATAAAAATTATATATGTGAGTTTTTAAAAGGAACCCTCAAATCTATCTCTACCAGCCAACTGTTGATGTCAGAAATGCCCCCATTAGAAACACAGTCCTTTGAGTTAAGGGGTTATTCCATAAAAAACTCCTGGGGTTCTTGGAGGACTCCCAGATTAGGCTCCACTAGTCATTAATACTCAAATGCAAATCTTAAGTGACCATTTCCAAATAACTTGTAGCCAAAAAGATTGGATAAAGGACACAGAAAAGAGAACATAACACTGAATGTTTTAGGGGAAGAGTGCAAGATGCTGAAAGAGGGTCTGCAGAGGCATTAAAGATCCACCTCACCTTCTTACCAGGCTGCCCGGGGCCAACATGTATCCTTCTATTAGTGTTTGCTGCTCTTGAATTCTAAATAAAAATTTTCTGGAACTCCAATGGAGATACCCTGTGGCAATTTAAAAAGGCTTATAAACTACTCTTCCACAGCTCTTACTACCTGACACCAAAGACTCAAGTGCAAACCATATCCCTATAGTGAACATTTGGGGCCATGGACTGTTTATCTACGGTTAGGCTTAAACTTTGACTTGTCTTTTTTTTTTTTTTTTTTTTTTTGTGGAGGGGAATATTTTCATTTTTGTATGCCTATCTATTTTTCTATCATCAGAGACACACTTTTCTTAGCCTGGATTCCTCAGAAAGCAGAACCTGAGCCAAGGGTTCATGTGCTACAATTTTGTCAGGAAAGGTTCACCAAGAATCAGGAGTGAAGGACAAGGGAAGTGAGATAGAAAAGGAGATAGAGCCAATGCAAGAAAGTGTTTTGAGCTGGTCACCAGGGAATACAACTAATTATTTGGTATCACAGGACCATATTCCATGGAGCCATATAAACAATGTCTCAGGAGTGCCCCTTTGGGGGAGAAAAGGGGAAGAATTTATCGCTTGCTCCCATACCTCATTGGTCAAAAGTTCACTCTATAGAGTAGTTTTCGTGCACACCTAGGTGTGCATGTGTAAAGGTTGCTGTGAAATTCTATGCCTATGTCTTGGTATCAAAGAAGTCCCAGAGTGACAGGTGAGCTTTGCACAGCATGGGCGTGAGGCAAAGCACTGTTAGGCTATGCCTTTGTGAAGCTGCTTGCTGTAGTAAGAGCCAAGCAATAGACAAGTGAAGCCAAGAGATCGAAAGTGGTGGCTAAGAATGGTCTGACACAGGGGTGTCTGGGTGGCACAGTTGGTTAAGCGTCCAATTCTTGGTTTTGGCTCGGGTCCCTGATCTCAGGGTCTTGAGATCAAGCCCCATGCTCTGCACGGGGTCTGCTTAAGTTTCTCTCTCCCTCTCCCTCTGTCTCCCCAGCCCCCTTCCCCACGTGTTCATTCTCTCACATGCTCTCTCTAAAATAAATAAGTCTTTAAAAAAAAAAAAAAAAAGAATGGTCTAACGCAGTCCACCCTGGTACCAAGCAGCTTGCTTGTGCCCTCTGTCATCTGGCTCACTTAATATACTCTGGAGCCTCTGTTTTCCTAAAAACAAGAGGCCCTCACTTTCTCCTTGAAGGATTGAGTCTAAGTCTGAGTCTTCCAAGTCTTCCCTGATCTGAATCTAGTCAGTCACAGAGCCTCCCTCAAGGTGGTAGCAGTTGAAATTTCCAAAAAGATCCAAGGCAGAAGGGTTAGTGAAATAAGATGCAGTCCCCCAGTTGTAGCGGGTCCTAAGGCCATAATTGCCATTCACCAGCTTCCTCTTCCACCTCCCACTTTAGATTTCTATCACTTTGGCCAGGAGTTTGCCACCAATGGGCATGGCATTTGCCTCGTAGTATAATTGAGAACTGTGTCCCCAAGGGGACTGAGGTCCTTATTGCTTTGCCTTTGGGCTGTGATTGCTATCATTACCCATTTTCTCTAGATGCACCAAAATACATCCTCGTGAATCCTGTGCATTTCAGAGGTACTCTTCTCTGCTCACATTGCACAAAGCAACTACAGCTCCTCATGGCCTTCAGTACAGCAACTCTTTCTTTGCTTGCTGATCCACCAGCCAAAGAAACCCAAAGTAACTTGGTAGCAGTTGCAGTTTCAAGTTCAGTGGAAACCTTACTGTGACCTCTGGGCACCAAGGCCTCTCAACCTGGAAAATCCTGTTTGCAGGGATGGAAAACACAAATTCCATAAGGAGATTGCTGGGAGGGATGATGAGAGAGGCCATGCTCCTTCCCTAACCCACTCTCATGTTGTAACTATTAGGAACATAACGCCATATATTGGCTGATGGTTCAGCACATATATTGCATGCCCAGAGGGGAGTGCTTCAGTTCTGCAGGGTATTTTCCCCAAGGTGGTGACTTAGCTGTGGCTCTAAGAGCCCATTCTCCCATTCCATTAGCCTCGCTGCTGCTTGATGAGCAGGCACATGGTAGATCCTATTGTCACACTTCTTTTGTTGGTCTTAGGTAATGTTGTGAGAGCTACCACATCAATACGTCAGGCATTCTGAAAGGCCTCGGATGGTTACGCTGGTGAAGGCACTTTAGGAAGGGAAAACAAGCCCATATGCAAGAGTTAGTATCAAGTGCAACAAAAATGAATTACTGCATGCTGGGGTAAAAGGGACCAATTTAACTGGCCTGCCATGAAGTGGCTGGCTGGTCTCACTGAAGAATGTCATATCAAGGAACTGGTGTCCATCTCTGCTTCTGACAGTGCTAGTAGATAGAGCAGCTTTGGTAAGGGAGAGCCCATACTCCTGGGCCCGTGCATAAGACACCTCCTTGCTACCTTGGTCACTCTGTTTATGGGATCACTGCAAGAACACAGCTCAGGAGAGACACTGGCTTACATCTGTGGGATAAATCATCTGCTCCCCTGGTTGCTGAAATCCTCCTCTGTTGTGGATGCTCTTCGGTGATCATTACTAGAAGACACAGAGATCTGCACACTGGATGCCCAGTCCCATAGGTCAAGCTACTTGTCTCTTCTCTATACATCCTTGCTCCATATGATGAAACCATCTTCCAAGAAACTGTATAAACTACATCTTAGA